CCTTAGGGACTAAGTAAAGCGCTATACAAATACAGGCCATTTACCATGTCTGTGGGTCGCAGGTGTGTGTTTTCACTGCACCCCTGTTTTTATTTTCTTTTTCTATGCATAGTTTCTTTTTGCTGTAATTTTGAATATCAAGCAGAAGATTGCATTAAAGTCCTCTTTAAGTGCATCCTTACTGCTTCCACGGGAAATAAAAGGATAATTAGCCAGTTGCTGCTAATCAAATGAATTCTAACTGAACTTTAACAAATGTGACCATCCATGTAAAAGCAGAGGTTTTGGCAGTTTGTCTAGTCTGAAACATTCAGCTCTGTGTTAGAATTTTTCTCCATATGTTTCTTTGCTTAGGCTGCTGCCCCCGCGACCCGGCCCCAGATAAAGCAGATGAAGATGGATGGATGGATGTTTCGATGCTTTGAAAAAGACTTTTTTCATAGCGCAATCTCATCCGCGCAAAAGACACTCATATCACCTTTTTCAAAACAGTCAATCACTTCACGTCTGTGAGTCACAAATAAAAACCCTTTCACCATAATTTTAAACCTTAGACGCCAAATTGTTTGACTTTTATCGAAACCTTACTGACTTTGGAAAGAGCTCTGAAAAAATTGGGGACATGCGACAGGACAGTGATCTCAATCACAGCAGCAAATCTACAACAGAACAGCTGGACAAGAAAACAATCAATGTGATGTGATGGTTTGGTCAAAGTCCAAATGCTGAGGTGGGACCTAAAGAGAGCTATGCATAAATCAATGTCTCCAAACGTCAATGAAGCAAATCATAATTATCAACATTATCAAAGGCCAAAATTCCTCTGCAATGATGTAACTGATAAAGTCATACAGGAAACTATTGCTCCAATTTACTGCTGTAAAAGACTGAATCATGGTATCTATTTAGTTTTCCACAGAACTGCATGAAATCCCGTGAAGACCTTTTTAACATGACTATAAATGGTATTACAAAATTCAAATGCGATTAAGAGCATTGATAATATTTCTCCTCTCTATATTCTTGTCAGCTTATGGAGAACTGGTCAGATCCGCAAACTTCTCCTTTGAAGCAAAAACACACAATTCATACAATAAATTATGAAGTAATAACAATACTGCAAGCTAACGATATATCAAACACAGGGTGTTGGTCAAAGTATGGCAAATTACATCTGTGGTATATCCAGTAATCATGATTCAATTCACAATCATTTAGGGGGAGTCTTTCTCTTTTATTTCCTCTACTTTCTGCATTTCTTTCCACAAAAGTAATCTTATCTTACTTGAAAAAACAGGTTTATTTCTGTTGAGGAAAAATAAATCTGCTCCCTTGCAGTGTAAACACTTGTTTCATAACATTTCAGTGGAGCACAAAATGTGTTCCTGTATTCAGACTTATGAATAAAAACTAGCTGTAAAGACCATTCACTACAAAACATGCTCTACATGGTCAGATTTTCTACTGTTTAAATGGTTTCTGTGTCATTTATTTGCATCTCCCTGTTTTGTTTGTGTATTGTTTTTTTTAATTACAAAATCTCCAAACATTACATTTAAATGAAGTTAAAGTATTTCTTTCTCACAGAGGCAACAAGAAAGAAAACTTCCCAAAGCAGAAATGGTTTAGCAGTCACTTTACTCCATTTCCCTGCTGACAGATTGCTGACCATTGCTAGCATCAGGTCAACCGGATAGCATGGCAAAGTGTGTAATAAACATGCAGGTCCACTGTGTCCATTTCACGGTTTGCCACTACAGTGCACTTGTTGTCACTTTCATTCACATCCACGCAGGTGAAACAAATTCACATTGTTTTATATTTCCTTACTAGACTGAGTGATTTTCTGAAGTTTAACTGACTTGATGTTCACGTTTTCAGATCAGTCGAGGAGTGTATTTAAGTTACTTAGTCTAAGGAGTTTCGAAAGAAAAGCGTCTGGACTTCTTTAAGTTGCTTGAAGATGTTTCACCTCTCATCCGAGAAGCTTCTTCAGTTTTAAAGGTCAAATGGTGGAGAGTCCCAGATTTAAACCCAGTGGGAGTATCCCCCCAAAGAGGGACAAAGGACCCCTTGATGATCCTCTACCTAATCACATTAGGTAGAGGATCAGACAGGCAGACAGATACAAACACACCCTATCGTGTGATAGGGTGTGTTTGTATCTGTCTGCCATCTATAATCCAGTTTTGAGATCCCTTCTTAGACGCCTTAACGCCCACTCACACCCTGGGCCATCTGACCTCAGGAAATCACACGATAGGGTGGGTCCAGGTTTCACAATGAGCTCTGCGAGAACCTTCACAGACATTTAAGTTACTTGCGTTTAACTTAATGTTGCTATAACAAATTAACGTCTCACCTGTCAACTCATTTAACATCAGTTTTATATTAAGTAGAACAGACCAGTGAAAACAGCAAAAATCAGTGTAAACTACACATTTAATCCTTCAGATATTTTAATATAAAAAGGTAATGCAGTCTCAACCGTATTTTCTACATGACAAAGACATGCTGCTGTAGTAAATGAAAATCATCTTCCAGCACAACTTTTGGAGCTTTCATTGTAAGATACTGTATACAATTACAGAAAAAGTTGTAATAGCTTATTTCCCAGCCTGTCCTGTAGCTAATTAAAAAACTGAAGTTTTTGTTACAGGAAGTGCAGAATTATTGGGCAAGTTGTATTTTTGAGGAATAATTTTATTATTGAACAACAACCATGTTCTCAATGAACCCAAAAAACTCATTAATATCAAAGCTGAATGTTTTTGGAAGTAGTTTTTAGTTTGTTTTTAGTTTTAGCTATTTTAGGGGGATATCTGTGTGTGCAGGTGACTATTACTGTGCATAATTATTAGGCAACTTAACAAAAAACAAATATATACCCATTTCAATTATTTATTTTTACCAGTGAAACCAATATAACATCTCCACATTCACAAATATACATTTCTGACATTCAAAAACAAAACAAAAACAAATCAGCGACCAATATAGCCACCTTTCTTTGCAAGGACACTCAAAAGCCTGCCATCCATGGATTCTGTCAGTGTTTTGATCTGTTCACCATCAACATTGCGTGCAGCAGCAACCACAGCCTCCCAGACACTGTTCAGAGAGGTGTACTGTTTTCCCTCCTTGTAAATCTCACATTTGATGATGGACCACAGGTTCTCAATGGGGTTCAGATCAGGTGAACAAGGAGGCCATGTCATTAGTTTTTCTTCTTTTATACCCTTTCTTGCCAGCCACGCTGTGGAGTACTTGGACGCGTGTGATGGAGCATTGTCCTGCATGAAAATCATGTTTTTCTTGAAGGATGCAGACTTCTTCCTGTACCACTGCTTGAAGAAGGTGTCTTCCAGAAACTGGCAGTAGGACTGGGAGTTGAGCTTGACTCCATCCTCAACCTGAAAAGGCCCCACAAGCTCATCTTTGATGATACCAGCCCAAACCAGTACTCCACCTCCACCTTGCTGGCGTCTGAGTCGGACTGGAGCTCTCTGCCCTTTACCAATCCAGCCACGGGCCCATCCATCTGGCCCATCAAGACTCACTCTCATTTCATCAGTCCATAAAACCTTAGAAAAATCAGTCTTGAGATATTTCTTGGCCCAGTCTTGACGTTTCAGCTTGTGTGTCTTGTTCAGTGGTGGTCGTCTTTCAGCCTTTCTTACCTTGGCCATGTCTCTGAGTATTGCACACCTTGTGCTTTTGGGCACTCCAGTGATGTTGCAGCTCTGAAATATGGCCAAACTGGTGGCAAGTGGCATCTTGGCAGCTGCACGCTTGACTTTTCTCAGTTCATGGGCAGTTATTTTGCGCCTTGGTTTTTCCACACGCTTCTTGCGACCCTGTTGACTATTTTGAATGAAACGCTTGATTGTTCGATGATCACGCTTCAGAAGCTTTGCAATTTTGAGACTGCTGCATCCCTCTGCAAGATATCTCACTATTTTTGACTTTTCTGAGCCTGTCAAGTCCTTCTTTTGACCCATTTTGCCAAAGGAAAGGACGTTGCCTAATAATTATGCACACCTGATATAGGGTGTTGATGTCATTAGACCACACCCCTTCTCATTACAGAGATGCACATCACCTAATATGCTTAATTGGTAGTAGGCTTTCGAGCCTATACAGCTTGGAGTAAGACAACATGCATGAAGAGGATGATGTGGACAAAATACTCATTTGCCTAATAATTCTGCACTCCCTGTAATTAGCAGAAATATCTTGATCATATTTATAAAACCCACCCCCCCCCCCCCCAAAAAAAAACAAAAACAAACAAACAAAAAAAACTAAACAAACTAAACAAAAAGCAATTTCTATAGTAGACGGTGTTTATCCCTCACTTAATTACTGCAGGGGGAGTTCCTGATCAGTAGAAAAAGCTATAATACAGTTAGAAGTCCCTCCATCACATTTTCCAAAACTGTCCAGTGGGCTGCACAGGAGTCTTTGCCGGGTCCCCGGACCTGATGTTTGACACGCTTTGGATTGAAACAGTAAAGTTATGCAGTTTAAAGCCAAATCAAGGAACTGAAAGAGACTAAAAACTGAGAGTTGAATGATAATCACCTTTATTATCGAACTTATAATGAGCCCGGTTAGTATTTTTGTGCAGTGTGTGTCATAATTAACAGAACACATGTGTACAGTGTGTTGATTTGCTCCCCTTCTGCGATAAACGCTTGTAGGTACAACCTCCACTGAGCATGCGCAGAAGTGTCGGTCCTCTACATTTGCTCGCAGACATCATCACAGGTTGAAGTGAGCATCCTCATCCACAAAGAGGGAGCCGGGCTGTTTTGTCTTTCCTCTCGGCTCTGTCGTTTATCCCCCGTCGCTGTCGCCTCTGCTGCAGTGTGTCCAACGTCAGCACGCGGGGAGCAGAAGCCATAAGATGAAGAAACGTTATGTGGACGCGAACAGGCTACGGAAGATGAAAAAGCTGAAAATCACGGAGAAGCTGTCTGAAAGGTAGCGAGCCGCGGCGCCCGGCGGCTGCTTTTGTTGTGGTGGCCGTCTTTGTGTAGATTTCAGCCGTCGTCATCCCGCTCACCTGTCCGACTCGCATCCCATCACCTCCATCCGCCCCTCACATCCTAAATGACCCAGCGTGGCGCTTTGATTAGCCTCAGTGCGGCGGAATTAAGGCGCAAATGTTGCACCGGGTTACTTCAGCCCGCCTTGTTTACAGAATAAAAACAGAAGCTGTGCAAGTTGACGTCGGCCTACTTTCGTCTCATCTGCGTTCTCACTGCCTGCTCTATCCCCCACTCTTAATCGCGCGTGAAATTAACACGGCCACATTGCGTTTTGTTTATTTATTTCCATTCGTCCTTTGGAAAAATAGAAACAAACGCGCATTCCTCTTTGGCTTATTTGGCACACAAAATCTGGAAGCGTCTAGACTAAGTCCAGACAAGAAAAGACACGCAAATAAGAACGGAACACCACTTTTTCTGTTCATTGTGCACCTTTCTTTCTTTCTTTCCACAAAAAACAACACATGCAAGAGATTGTGTTTATTTTTGAGATTTAGACGTCCTATTTTATTTTGTGGGCCAGTCACATATTAAATTTCTTGCTCTTTGTGTGCAGTGATTTCACACAAACACAAACACATATAATTGAATTACACTACTGGAAATACTACAAAGCAGATAAGAACTTGATTGGAGAATTAAAGACGCTGTGGTGATTCCTTTACACTTCACTAGCTTGTTTGGTAATTATATTTAGTGATAGTGCTAAATACAATAAAGGGCGCTATTTCAATAACATCATATAGAGAACTAAAGTTACATCAGCTCTGCTTGGGAGTTTTATTAGGCCAATTAAGCATGCTACTCAAGGAGAATAAGATAATAAAAAAGACTATATTGGGCTTCTAGGATGGATTTAATATGCTGTTTAAAAGCCCTCTCCCAGCTGATTCTAATTTATTTTCTAATTTTTTGTAGAACAACCTGCACAGTTAGCAGTTAGTTATAATATAAATACAAGTGAGATTAATTGAAATGCATTCTTTATAAGTAAAATTAAAAGGCTGTTGTGGACTTGCAGAAGGATGCTGTGGTGCTCCCTCTCTCCTCCAGATGAAATATTGCCATGGTTACCAAACAAAGAAGGGGTGATGTGATAGCAGCCTATGGATGAGCAGAACAAAGGAGGAAAACCACAGCTCCTGTTTGGCTTGCGGCTGCCTAATAAAATGAGGGAACAGTCATTGTTCTTGTTATAGTGGCCCTGCTTAAAAGGAAGGACTGTATTTTTAAGACACAGCTGGCTCAATTAGAGGTTAATGCCGTTTTTGCAGTTTCCCGTCTCATACTGGGCTGTGTGTGAGTATCTGGTGCTTTATCTGACAGCCTTTATTTACTGGATTCAGAGGAAGAGGCACGTTTGTTTGCCATGAGCTCAAAGTGAAATAATAATAATGAAGGAGGATTGATTTTTTCCTTCTTCTTTTTAATAATGTCTGCATGTCTTTATAGCGCGTACACCTTCCTGAAGTTTACGGTGATGTGGACACTGGTGCTGCTGGCAGACTTCATCCTTGAATTCAGACTGGAGTACCTGTGGCCGTGCTGGCTCTTCTTTGGGAGCGTGTACACCACTTTCCACTGCCATGGGCTGGTGAGGACTCCTGCTGTGTGTGATTTCATATTCTGTGCACTGGCCCTGATGATGATAAGCCAGCCAGTGATGTGTAGTAGGCTTCACGCAGTGAACAAGAACATGGCTTTTCTTCTATTTTCAGTGAATTACTCACATTTTACTTTCCTGTTGTTGTTGTTTTTCTTTCTTTCCCTTTTTGTTTGCAGGTTATTTGTGTTGTTTTTGTTTGCGCTGCCTTCACTCTGGACATCTTTTGTTTAATTTTTGTTCCTTTGCACTGGCTGTTCTTTGTGGCGAGCACCTATGTGTTATTCAATTACATATGGCACACAGGTGAGTATGACAATTATCATCCACTTGGCAAAATCTGCCCAACTTTCTTCATCTCATAAAATAAAAAATATTCTCTTATTTAAATTTATTAGTAATTTTCTTCTCATCTGATTATTTTTCCTCAGAGAAGGGCATCTGTATATCAACTGTGTCTCTGTGGATCCTGCTCGTGTACACAGAGGCTTCACTTCGACTCAAAGACCTTAAAACCTCACATGCCAACCTGTCCCATCTTTTTGCCGCTCACTGGTATGTTTATTTGATACAAAATGTATAAAGTTTAGATTTAGTATTTAATATTTCATCACTGAAAGATTATATACTGACTACTTTCTAATATTTATAATTTATTCCGGCACAATTAATGTGGAGCACCCACAATTTCCTTGTACATGTACAATGACAATTAAGGGCTGTTCTATTCTATTCTAACTGCCTTGTATTCACTTTCAGTATTGGATATCCTGTAGTTTATCTGGGGTTTGATGCCACCTGCTACTTCACCAACATCTTTAAGCTGCGCATACAGAAAGCAGTGCAGAGTGAGAATGACTTCCACATGCACCTCCTTCAGCACTCGCTCCCCCCAGGCCTGCAGGTTTATCCCAAGACAGGCACAGATGGCAGCAGCAGTGAGTCTGTGCACCTGCACCATCTACCTACCATTCTTACTATCTGGAGGGTTTTTCACTCTTCTTTTGGTTTCGGTCGTTCTTGTTTTCAAGCTGACAGTTTATTACAATCTCCACTTATGGAGCCACTCAGTCAGGTGATTACAACAAACATTTGTGAGTCAGTTCGCTGAGAAGACGCAGACAGTAAAAGTCCCAAGCTGAAACTGTATTTAATAACCTCCTAGAACATGATGTGTTGCTGCTGGCACAACAAAGTAAGCAATCTTCTTGTTACTGCAACTGTTTGACGCTTTGTGCTATCAAAATATTTCAGAGTGCTTCTGAAAATAGATAAGTGCTGCATACCGATGTATAAATGTATCTTTTAATATGGTAATTACATGATAGGGGGAGAAACTAACATGGACAGAGATGAAGGGAAAGGAATAAGAAGCAAAGGTGCAAAAATTGACATTTTTAAAACAATTTTGACAAAAAAAAAATTTAATACGTGCATTATAAAAAATACATTTGAAATTTTAAGTTGTAGATTTTGTTTTTTGTTTTTTTTTTGTTTTTTAAACAGTCATGTCTCCCCATGTTTTCATTTTCTGGCTAATTTACTAATTACAAACTCGGCACACATTACTAGTCAGTACTGGTGAAAGTTTTACAGCTTTTCCTATGGATAAAGACCTCCCCCACTGGCATTCATTAGAATGATTTCTGTAATTTCACACATGTTTTTCTTACAATTTAAGCTCAAAGAGTTGTCAAGTGACTTTCTTTCACTATAGCAACATTTCTTTATCATATAGAAGAACTGAGATTTTCTTAATATAAGAAAAACACAGTTTTTCTTATATTAAGGTAATCTAAGTAATACAGTGGGGCAAAAAAGTATTTAGTCAGCCACCGATTGTGCAAGTTCCCCCACCTAAAATGATGACAGAGGTCAGTAATTTGCACCAGAGGTACACTTCAACTGTGAGAGACAGAATGTGAAAAAAAAATCCATGAATCCACATGGTAGGATTTGTAAAGAATTTATTCGTAAATCAGGGTGGAAAATAAGTATTTGGTCAATAACAAAAATACAACTCAATACTTTGTAACATAACCTTTGTTGGCAATAACAGAGGTCAAACGTTTACTATAGGTCTTTACCAGGTTTGCACACACAGTAGCTGGTATTTTGGCCCATTCCTCCATGCAGATCTTCTCGAGAGCAGTGATGTTTTGGGGCTGTCGCCGAGCAACACGGACTTTCAACTCCCGCCACAGATTTTCTATGGGGTTGAGGTCTGGAGACTGGCTAGGCCACTCCAGGACTTTCAAATGCTTCTTACGGAGCCACTCCTTTGTTGCCCGGGCGGTGTGTTTTGGATCATTGTCATGTTGGAAGACCCAGCCTCGTTTCATCTTCAAAGTTCTCACTGATGGAAGGAGGTTTTGGCTCAAAATCTCACGATACATGGCCCCATTCATTCTGTCCTTAACACGGATCAGTCGTCCTGTCCCCTTGGCAGAAAAACAGCCCCATAGCATGATGTTTCCACCCCCATGCTTCACAGTAGGTATGGTGTTCTTGGGATGCAACTCAGTATTCTTCTTCCTCCAAACACGACGAGTTGAGTTTATACCAAAAAGTTCTACTTTGGTTTCATCTGACCACATGACATTCTCCCAATCCTCTGCTGTATCATCCATGTGCTCTCTGGCAAACTTCAGACGGGCCTGGACATGCACTGGCTTCAGCAGCGGAACACGTCTGGCACTGCGGGATTTGATTCCCTGCCGTTGTAGTGTGTTACTGATGGTGACCTTTGTTACTTTGGTCCCAGCTCTCTGCAGGTCATTCACCAGGTCCCCCCGTGTGGTTCTGGGATCTTTGCTCACCGTTCTCATGATCATTTTGACCCCACGGGATGAGATCTTGCGTGGAGCCCCAGATCGAGGGAGATTATCAGTGGTCTTGTATGTCTTCCATTTTCTGATGATTGCTCCCACAGTTGATTTTTTCACACCAAGCTGCTTGCCTATTGTAGATTCACTCTTCCCAGTCTGGTGCAGGTCTACAATACTTTTCCTGGTGTCCTTCGAAAGCTCTTTGGTCTTGGCCATGGCGGAGTTTGGAGTCTGACTGTTTGAGGCTGTGGACAGGTGTCTTTTATACAGATGATGAGTTCAAACAGGTGCCATTCATACAGGTAACGAGTGGGGGACAGAAAAGCTTCTTACAGAAGACGTTACAGGTCTGTGAGAGCCAGAGATTTTCCTTGTTTGAGGTGACCAAATACTTATTTTCCACCCTAATTTACGAATAAATTCTTTACAAATCCTACCATGTGAATTCATGGATTTTTTTTTCACATTCTGTCTCTCACAGTTGAAGTGTACCTCTGGTGCAAATTATTGACCTCTGTCATCATTTTAAGTGGGGGAACTTGCACAATCGGTGGCTGACTAAATACTTTTTTGCCCCACTGTAAATGTGTATTTAAACTTCTTTACACTGACAGAAAGGGGTGTTTCGGGTGCACTTAAGATCAAAGTGGGCTGTGTGTGCCCCATGATGTAAAATGGATTTGACACATCCCTGGTATAAACTGTGCAAAGCAGTGGAGAACCTATTTATCACTCCATAGGATCAGTGAAAGGACTGCAGGCAAATATTTTGGTTGGGTTAAGTCAGTGAGAATTCATTGTGATTAATAAGTAATTCTAGTGACTGATGCTGGCCCTATTTAAAGTTTTAAATGTTAGTTCATACCAAAGTGAGGATAGCCATAAATGTTTACTCATCCTAGATGTTTCTGAGCTCCATAGTAGACTCCTAAAACTGACCTGTTTTGATTTTACAGCCTCCAAATGGAAAGTCAAGCCTGAGTCGAGTCAGTATCAGTGTCAGAACGGTGCTGTGCTGGCCCAAGATGAGGCACACACCGTGGACTGCCTCCAGATCCGCAGTGAGGAGAGAGCAACAGAGAAAGCGTCACAGGAGGTGAGGTCAGCCGAACCAAACCGCCGGCCACCATCGTCATCGTCGTCATCATCCAAACCCAGTGTGGGTGAGTCCAAAGATCTGCTGCACAGCAGCACAGGAGGACCGGAATCATCAACAACTCCAGAAAATCTACCTCAAGAGGAGCACGGCAGCAAAGCAACGCGAGCAGCTAAGAACTCCTCACCAAAAGTCAGAAGAAGCAGCTCAAATACTCCTTCACCTCCTGCGGGAAGGACTGAGAAGAAACACAGGTCTAGCTCCAAAACAGTCAGCCCCAACAGGGATGCAGCAGAAAAGAGTGCCACAGCAGCTCAGAGTTACCACACTGAACAGACAAGCAAGTAAGTATTTAGCTAAGCTTGACTCGGGTGATGCTTACAGCAGTGCTAAAATGTTGTTTTTTATCTTGAAGGCTGGAGCAGGAGCTGAGGAGGCTGAAGAGTGAGCTGCAGTCGAGCAGGCAGACCGAACAGGAGCTTCGAAGTCACATCTGCAACCTGACCAACAGCGAGAGGAGCCTTAGACCAGAGGTTTCCCTGCTCAGACAGTCCAACATGCTTCTCCAGAGCAAGTGAGTGTCCAGTTGTTATCACACAAAACCGGATTTTATAGTACTTAAAATACTGTAGCTACTGTCAGTAAATATGAAAAAATGTTTATCCCATCTTATCCAAACCTAAAGTGACAATGAAATTGTTTCTTCTGTCCATGAAACAAAGCAAAAGATTTGAACTTAACTGTCACTGTAGAATTAAAAACCTGCACAAGAAAAAGAAAAGGTTTGTGTGTAAAGCTACAATATCAGATCAGGTGAATGTGCTGTATGAATGAAGTATAGTATATCACTATATAAAAGAGAATATGATGAGATCACTGACTTTGCTGATCAGCTGCACTGCTGCAGACCTGCTTTGTCACACAAACCATTTTTATTACCTGTACGTTGCCACAGTATCTACTTTTTTATGTTTTTTTATGCAAATTATGTTTCCACTCCTCCTTTTCCTCCAATATGTGACTCAGATTATCACTCTAAGCACATTTAGAGCTAAAAAAAAAAATGGGGGGAGGGAGGCTCAGTTAGTTATTTTATCCCACTACAGAGGTACTCCTAACACATTTACCACATCAAAGCCACGTCCAGCAGCCAAAGGCTATAAAATCGCATTTGAGAAGAGCATGTTATGCAGTTTTGATCAGCACCACCAGCTTTGATAAGGCATGCTCCAGTTTTTTTAAAGGAAGGTGCTCTCCAGTGACTACAACAACTACAAAGATGATAAGAAACCTGTTTAACATTTATGTCTGTTTTTGAAGTATGCTTGACGCTGATCTCAAACGAGTCCATTTGCATGTGGCAGTAACCCACATATTGCTGCTCTTTTTCTGCAACTTATTTAAAACCACTTTAATGTCATCCCTTCAGGATTCTGTGCCTAACTAAAAACAAGCAGAGGGACAAGCAGACTTGTGTGATGCTGGAGAAGAAGACCAGAGCAGAGGCAGAGGCCAGACTCTCTGCTGAGAAGCAGTTGGCTGAGCTTCAGGCTCAAAAACTGGAGGAGGCGGCGAGCACAGCACGGAGTCTAACAAACAGGTAACCCACACTTTTAAATTCCCTCTTATATTTCCTGAAACATGCTCTGAGTTAAATGTTGCTGTAAGCATGCGGCCAAACATTTGGTTTAAATGATGTTTACTTGCTTTCTTGTTGAGAGTTAGATGAGGAGATTAACATTATTTTGAGTAGCCTTCCTTAGCCAGTTAGCCTTGCGTTGTTCAGAGGTTAAGAAGGCTGCCAGTCATCACTTAGACCTTAAGCCTCAGTCACGCAGGCCCAGAGACCAGCCGGTGGCCCTCTGGCAACCAGCACTTGCTAAGTAAAAATGTGTATTCCTTAACTGCTCAGCATGAAGTTGCTGGGAGTCGGTCAGTGAAATCGGTTGCAAAGAGAGTGCTACAAAGAAAACTACCTTGCAGCTGCTTTGGTTGCTCACAGATTGCCACGGTCATCCTTACAGCAAGAATTATGATTCAGCAGGACGTCTGTGCCATAGGTATGTCGTAACTGCAACCTCCACTGAAATCTTATACTGCAGCCTATGGTGTAACCTCCCTAGAAACATAAATACATGTTGGGTCAACACATGTTGTTACAACATTTTCTTAGAAAGTCACTGAACTCCATTTCTGGGTTATGTCGCAGTTTTTGAAGTTCCACTACAGCACAGTAAATAGTTATCCAGCATTTGCAGGCAAGTCAGCGACTTCCATGTAAACTAGGGGCGACCATGGCAACCTGCTAGTAATCAAAGCAATTGAAAGAGGTTTTCAGTGCAGCATCCTTTGTGAACAGCTTTACAACCACTCACCAACTGGTTGGGAATACATTTACCAGTCTTGAAACATGTGGGAACGAAACCATGCTAACCGACACTTTACTGTTTAATTTGGCATTCTTTCGCTAAAGGTTAGCCAAGAAATAGTCCAATACAGGGTTGACACGTTTTAAAAAACAAGTGCCACTGACTGGATATTTTCTCTTCTTGATATTCTCTGTAAACCCTAGAGATGGTTGTGTGGGAAAATTCCAGTAGATCATCACTTTCTGAAATACAGGCACCATTCGCCGTGCTATAAACAAAGTGACTTTGATCGCTTTTATTCTTCATTCTGATCTCTTTGAATGTATCTGCCAGCTTGAATGAACTGAGTTGCTTCCATGTGATTGGCTGATGAGATATTTGCGCTAATGAGCTGTTGAACAGGCGTACTTGAGTGGCCAAAGAGCGTATGCTATCTTCGAACAAAGCCGAGCTAGCTGCTTTTCCCGCGTTCCTGTCTTAGCTCTAAGCTAACCAAGAGTGACATTGATCTTTTCCTCTAATTCTCTGCAAGAAAACAGATGATTCTTTAATCTACCATAAGCAGTTACTTCTTTTAAAGAAATCTCTCGTGTGTGTGTTCAAAATAATTGAAAGAGAAAACATCAGTGTTTATAATGCAAATCAAATGTTCTGTTTCTTTCTGTGGAAACTGGTCTTCAGTTCCCGCCAAAGCCTCTCTGTCACTGCTCAAACGCTCTCATTTTCTCCGTTTCCCACACCAGGCAGGAACACTGTGAAACCCAAATGTTAAGGAAAAAGGTTAAAGAGCTAGAGACAGAGTACAAACAACTACAACTGGAGTATCAAGTGAAAGACAGTCGTGTGGTAGATCTAGAGAGTGATGTTGAGGTATCTTTTTACTCTATTTGGGAATGAACTTGTGCATTTAAGTGTCTGTGAGTCTCAAGTGATCCAGTGCTCGGTTGTCCTCAGTTTGGTCATGAAGTCCTTCTTTTGCCGTTTGATTTGCTGTTTCTGATTTTTGTGTGTTTAACTCTCTTTGTTCTCTAAGAAAACAGAATGGTTTTCATTGAGGAACTTGAGCATTTTTTTTGTAATCCATTTTATTTTGGCCTGCAGTCACCATAATGCACTCTGTCATCACATCAGTATGCAGCATTACTGTATGGGTGTTTTTGTGTGACATTAGGTGTGTAAATTGTGGTTCTGTGTGGTATTTGATGTCATTTTAGTGGCATACTTTCCATGGAGCATGCTGTACTAGAAGCCAGGTCTTTCATAAAAACATTACACTTTTTTATCACCTTTCACAAAAGGCAAATTGTTAACCTAGAAAGACTCATCTTTCAAAATATCTTAATGATAATGTGCTGCAGATTTTATGTTTTTTGAATGGCTGGCTGGCCGTCATCACTGTTTGGAAGTAATTATGTGTGTGGGTCATTGGTTTTCTGAGCGTAAACTGTGCCTGTCTGAAATACAAAAAAAAGAAAAAGATACTCAGGAAACCAAAGCACCAACTCCCACAGGTGGTCGCTGCAGGAATTACTACTGGCATTTTGATGTTTTGCACTTATTCTTACCGCTAATGTGTTCTCTGGACTCAGGCTTTGGGAAAGTACCGCTGTGTGGAAAAAGAGACAGATATGCTGCTGTCCACTTTGTCAGCCATGCAGGAAAAGGCTCAACATCTGGAGTACAACCTGAGCGCTGAGACTCGCATCAAACTGGACCTCTTCTCTGCGCTGGGAGATGCCCGCAGACAGCTAGAAATCGCCCAAGGTTGATATACTTATTTCTGATATTAATTTAGATCAGGGGTGTCAAACCCACCTGACAGCTTTGGAAAATGTGAAGGATACTATGACATAAATTTGGGACTTTTATTGTATTTTCAGAGGTTTTACAGGTTTTTCATATAGATAAAGACCTCCCCCACTGGCATTCATACGACACCAGAGTACTTAAGTGATAGATAAACTATTAAATGACAGAAAGGGGTCCACATTAATGTAAAACCAAAAGAAAATATATTTTCTGTGACTTAACAAAACCTATTTTATAATTACAGGACAGTCTGGACAGTGACTAACCAGAATTTCTTCTGTAATTTTATACATTTATTTCTTACAATTTATTCTCAAAGAGTCGTCAGATGACTTTCAGCAATTTCTTTATCATGTAGAAGATCTACCGTTTTTCTTATATTAAGATCTCTGAGGGATTCGGTGTCTAGTTAAAATTATTTACACTTAATCCGTTAAATCCTGAACCATGACATAAATGCCAGAAAATTCAATTTGTTTGAAAATGAAGTGTTTAGTCAACCCTCTGGGGAAAAATGTTATATATTAATTAGTTAAAAATCATACTGATGATGTAAAAGTCTCAAAAACTCATGTATCAAATATGATATGCTTTAAACGGACTGTAAAATCAGTTTGACATCCCTGATTTACATCACTGTGTTTTTTCCCCTTCTTCAGTTTGATCTGCAAACTGCCATTAGATTAGAAATTACTGTCAAGGAAAAGTAAACTATGATATGTGGGGCAAATTGTGAGTCGGATTGAACAGCACCACCGTGTGACTGCTGGGATTTTTAAAAATTGTTTATTTAATGTTTTTCTTTTAGCATTGTCGTGGTTCCCTCAAAAAAAAAGAAAGAAGCCAAATTGATTACTTTTGGGTTATCACTAAATACACAAAAACATATTTGGAAACAAATTCTTCACAAATTGATGCCAGTTATGATAAATTACATAGACAATAGTATTGGGCCACACCTCATAATCTTTGAGTTCAGTTTTTGTTCAGTGACATTGCCTTTACAAGCAATTGTAAAAGAAAGAATGAGCTGTTCTAAAGAGCTTAGTGATAGTGGGAGCTTCATGGCATGGGTTTCCATTGCTGAGCAGTTCCTGTAGGTGTAGTGTGTAGTTGCTCCAGTACTTTTGTTTATATGTTGTATTTTGGAAGCTTGAATCCAATTGGCAGTAGTAAAAAGCTAATGTTAAGTAATATACAAACTACTAGACCATGCTCACATGGCTTCATCAGTGCCACTGCGTATGATTAGGATAATACGATGAGGCGTATTATCCCCAAGAACTTCTGTAATCTTCCTTTAAGCCACTTGTCGGTAGCATAAAAAGTATAAAAGATGGATGCAGCCATGATGTTACCGATTGGTTAATGAAGTCCCGATTTGAAGCAGTTTTGGCATTTCAGCTTTTTACCCATCAGTCGTAAAAGGCTGATGGGGTATTGTTGTCAGCATAGACGTCCAAGATACAGTAGGTGTTCAAATCCCTGTTACCTTAACCTCAAGGTTGATCTGCCTGAAAAACTGAGGGTACCAGATGGTCAAGCCTCTGAGCGTACCATGAATGATGCCGCTGTCTGACTCTAACATGGACCTTTATTTACAAAGTGAACTTCTTGTTTCATCAGTACGACCTGAAACTATCAGTTGAGACTGCGTATACATCAGAAAGTGTGTGCTGAGGTGACAGAGCGAGGCTGCTGAGAGCTGTTCACCGTGCATTCCCCTCCTGGCCATTAGAAAGAAAAAGTTTTGCACTAGCTTAATTTTTTCGTTTGTATTGTCTTTGGCAAATGCTTTTAATGGTTAGTGAGAGACTATGAAAGTGGCTCTGTGGTGTAGTGGTTAACACATTCACTTAACATGTGAAATGTTCCCAGTTTATGAGCAGGTGGAGACATAACCCTAGCCTCTAGAGGTGACAGGCTACTGTAATTCTACTGCCAGTCTCAGGCCTGGAGAAATGTCAGAGCTGTGCTAAACTGCAGATCTGATTTCAGGCATTCGACCAAAAATCCATTAAATTAAACCCAATGATTTTGTGGTTTAATAGAGGGTGTTTTAACATTTCAGTTGTCAGACCTCACACGACCACTTCTCCTCCTTGTGGGGAATTTCAGCCAAATTTAGATAACACCCTTGATACCACAAATCTTAGCGATGAGTTTAGACTACTTCTGCTCAGATAAAGTCTTCTTTGAATAATCCATCTAGCTTATTACCTCGATTTGAGTTTAAGGTTAAGATTAAGGGGATTTTGCACGGACAGAGAAAATCTTGCTCAGCTTACATTCGAGTGCAGAAATAACAGAAATCCTATGCGTTGCAGCTCATTCAGTATCTATCTCCTTACATCTACACCTTCCTCTGACAGATAAGGTGATGAAGCAGGACAGGGAGATAAGTGAGATGAAGAAGAAGATTGCCGAGGTGATGGCGGTGAGCCCCGGCATGTCCTACATGGCGCCCCGGCCCCACGTGCCACAGAATCTCACCAAGTTGCTCAACTCCGAGCGCTACGTGTTGAATCCACGAGCATTGATGTACCAGTGTTTGAAGAAATAGGGGACGTCCCAGAGCTTTCACACCTCATCAGAACTCGTCAGATCCGGACGAGTTTATCACAGAGCTAAACAACACCGCGAAGTCCTCTACTTCCAGCCATGAGTGGAACCAGGCCAAGCCTCCACGAGTCGAATGCCTTTTGCTGCACTGATGGTGCTAACTTGATATTATTCTGTATATTTCCTGTTTTCTGCCACATCACAGGTCGAAGAGTTTCACTCCAAAATGAGGTATCTAATATGCAGAGCTGGTCATTTTTTTGAAGGAAAAAAAAAAAGGTTTACTTATCCCGATTAAATACAAATACAGGTGTCAGCAGAGATACAAACCAAGTAGATTTATCTGAATGAAGACCTGGTGCCCGATGTGGACATGCCTAGAGGAAGATGGCACTGACAGGTTCTCTGCTGCAGCTGTAAAATATTTAATTAAACCGCTCTTTACAGTTTAACTCCTGGCATGAAAGTAAAACTAACCGAACAACATTATTTAAGTCCGTTCATGTGTTAAACTTACAGATGTGTAAGAATTCAGAGTTTTCTTGATCTGCTGCAATACTGACAAGAAGATTCAAAGTAATATCTTTTTTAAGCCCTATTTGTCAGTATTTATTAGAACAAAATGATCACTGAGGTCCAGCAGTACAGGTACTGATCATAAAATTAAGAAAACAGTGGCTGACTTCTGTTCCGGTGTCTCAGTCAGTCGTGACAGTCAAACCACGTGACTCTGAAACTGGAAATCAGCCATCACGCTTTTTTCATCGTCTCGGCTTTTCTTTGAAAAAGAGGCCATATTTTAGACTTAAATCTTTAACGGATTTTGGGCAAATATTGGAGTTGTGAACATTATTTACATTCATGTCTAAACATGATTATAGAAAGATGAGAAATTCGTATACAGACTTTTGTCAAAGCCTCAGTGGTTATGATAATGAACTTGTTTCTCTAAATGTCTCTATTGGAGAAAAAAATTTTGAATAATAAATTTGGTATATATATGTATATATATATATATATACATACATGCACATATTTATATAACCTGGTCAGCTACATCATTAAAACCACCAGCTGAATAATGTGCACGACCCTCTTGAGCCATGAAAACCTTCACGGATCTGCCCTGCTGCAGGTCCTCGGATTACTGCATATTTTCTGTAGGTTTTGAGTTGGGCTCGATTTGGATTGAGAGTTCGGATTGAGACCCTTTAAGAGGAGGGACTACTCTTCTATGGTCTCTTCAGGTGTCTGTTGTCCCAAACTGAGTACCGTCACCGCCTTAGGTTGTTTTCTGCGCTTCTTCATATGCTTATGAGCACTTTTTGTGGGAGAACGCGGCCATCGGGAAACGCCATTACCATGTAGCGGGTCAGAGCTTCCTGGAATTGCTAGAAGCTCTGACCCGGACCCAAAAACAGATGAGTGGGTGGGTTTCAAAGTAAATTTAAAATCTTCCTGCTGAAAATTATAACAAGATGATCAATGTTGTTCACTTCACCTGTCTGGTTTTAATGTTGTGGCCGATCCTCGTACCATTCTATCAAAGTGTAAATGGGACTATTTAACATACCCCAAATGTTTAAAACAAGTATGCACCAAGATGTTCTTGTGTGTGCCTGTAAATAGAGATTTAGGAGTATCTTAATTGTGCTGAAATTCAGACAAAATATGTGCGTTCAACACAGAGCTTTGGAATGAAACCCTTCAGAGTTGGAATATTCCTGCATAACAGGCGGCATCTTTGTATGAATATTCCTGGTTGCCATCCGGGAGACTCTTGAGAATAGTTAAGTGATGTTTTATTGTCTTACTGACCTGATAATTTTTTAAAAAGAAAGCTGACTTCAGCTACGACTGAGAGCCCACTATTTTTTTGATGTTTGGCAGCTCGTGGCTCCACAGTGGCATCTGGAAAAGAGAGACCGCGACCTTGTCCGAGAAGTAAAGCAGAGCCGGGAAGGACAAGGGGGACGGTGTTGACGAAACATGGCTCACGGATGAAATTACTGTGCCTATATACTTTCAAACTCGGAAGTAAAACACAAATTTTAATGTGAAAGAGTAATGTGTTTAAATTGAAGTGCTATGTACTGTTTTTGTAGTTTTTGCTTCATTTCTTTCTTAATTTTTTTTTTTACTCAGTGTACAGAATTGAAAAATTACCCACGCAGCTGAAAAACACTCATGAACTGGATGTCGCCATTTTGGTAGCTTTTTATTTAGAGCGTGTTTCTAGGGTGTTTTATATCAAAAATATTTTTTAGTCTTGCTGTTCTTCTTATACTGCTGTCATTTTGTACGGCACTGTGTTTGTCAGCATGAAATGTGTTTTATTCAACCGTTATTTGAGCACACATTGTGACTTTATGTACCTGGATGTACTTGTACAAGGGCTACAGTTTCTTAACGTTTTTGGACGAACAATTGTTAATTCAAACGATGATGCTCTGAGGCTGGAGATCACACTCCTGATACACCAGGACCCCGTTTTGTATAAATTATTTAAGTTATCAAATGAGTCTAATTTGTGCAGACGTGTGCATGTTCCTTCACTCAGGAGCCATTTATGGTGTCATTTTCTGACTTTGAAGGTAAAACGAGCAAAATTGACTTCTTCTGCAAATGGAAGTGCTTTCTGAAAACTTTAGTGTAATGGCTAATAAAGATCATCTTCATAAACATTTTGGCCTCACAACAGATCAACAAGAGACACTGAGATTATTTAAGATGATCTCCTTTTCTGATCTGTAGATTCATGCTGAACTAAGTTACAGAGTGCCTTTGGGGCATGGGTTTGAAGACATTTTGAACTCGGTTACTTACTCGTTACTTTCAGAGTAACTAGTTACTAGGGAAAGTAACTTTGGTTTTACTCAGAATTCTCTTATTAATGTGTTGCTCGGCTAACTGAATACCCAGCAAGGATGCCAGTCTTCTAGCTTGCTTACATGTTAGCGCTATCCTGCCACAAGTGCACTGTGCCACCCAATGGCCTGAACCTAAAATGGCAGTGTAGTAGTGTGAGTGCAAGTTAATGATGAAAGGAATGAAACTAAATTAGAAATGAACAATGTTTGTTTTATGTGTCACTTTTTATCGTTCTCTTTTAATCTATTTCTATTGTTTCAAACGTCTATAAATGCAAACACATCATTTTGGGGTTGATGCAGCAGTACTGTAATCGTACGTAGTATCACTAGGAAGCAGCAGTGGATCGCAAAACACGGCACACAGTGTGTTGAAACTTTTGAAAGGTATATTTATTTTTGCCATTGAAATGGGTAGAAAGTATACTTTTAGCAGTGCCAACATTAAACTATGCCTCAGACCATTTACGAGCTGTAAGTATCAAAATAGTGCAAAAATGGTTCAACATAAACACAGTTTGTCACACAGTTTGTCCATTCTTTGTAAACTTAACTGAAAACAGCTGAACTGCATCAACTGTGCAAGTTTGCCCGTCAGTTCAGTATTGACGGGCAAACTTAAAAGTATTTTCAGCTTCACAAATAGTCAATATTTAACCAAAATAATATTTCCTCCAGTCGGGCCATGTAGATAAGTAAAATATGATGGTAGATTAAGTGCTTCAGTGGTCTAAGATTCTAGCCTACGTCATAGCGTCACGTGCGCTTTTTACGTCCAACACGGAAACTGCAGTCGTGGTGCTTTCGATTGTGCTCTGAACTCGGAAATTCTGCCTTCTGACTAGGAAGATGTAGGTAAATCCAGACTGCAGATGAGCTGAATATGTGTTTAATAGTAATTTGTTTTTGTAGAGGGCTAGAAAAACAACCGTTTTCGAAGGCGTCGCCATATTGAAATCCCGGCTTCTCTGACGAGACTAACCAGAACGCCGTTTACTCGAGTGTGACATCATTCCCAGGTTCGTATTCCGATTTCCGAGGTAAAACGAACGCAACACACGAATAACGACCCAGTAACGATAAACGCATCATTAATTTTGGCATAATAACTAGTTATCGTGCTCGTTACCACAATAATAACGTAGTTACTGTAGTTACTTAATAACGCGTCTCTACACTGCTGGAGACGAACCTGACAAGCAGAGACCCACAAACAAGCAGCAACCGAAGGTGGCTGCAGTAAAGGCCTGGGAGGGACGGGGAAACAGCTTTCGGGTTTTTTTTTTCTTATTATTATTATTATCATTTAAATCATCTCTGTTGTGTACATGCTTAAAGTTGATCAAAGAATAAAGATCTTTTAAAAAAGACAAGCAAAAAAAACCCTACTGGACTGGAGATTGTGACCCTTGGAGTGGTTGTAAAATTGATTCAGTGGGAGTTTTTAAACAGAGCTGATTTTTAGTTCTCTGGGAATGTAGAAGTAATGAGAGTTCAAAAATGCAGAAAAAAACCCAAGGCGATTTATAAAGTATTACATTCCATCCATCTATCATATACTTCAAGGGCCTGTAACTTGGAATAGTGTGATAGGACTTCATGAGATATGCCAAAATTATGCAAATAAACCAGATTTTAAGGAGGTTGGGTAGGAAGCACTGTTGAGTCCCCATGGAAAGACCAAGGCAGATAACTTTAACTCTGGTCTGAGCACAAATAAGAATGATGATTTTTCTATTATTTGCTTATTAGTTGATCTGTTTGTTATTGATAAAAAGAAGATGCCACACAACAATATCATTAAGTGCTGACAGTGTAATTTTTTTTATTTCAGGAAGTGAAAAAAAGAGGGTAATGCAGAGACAGAGCAGTGTCCAGCATACAGTGCACAAGATGTTTACAAGCATGCCAGGCAGCGCCACACTCGTCTCTCACAGTAACAGGCTCTGTCACAGCATGGAGACACCGAGACTGGATCACCGACTGAATTTCAATCTCTAAATCTTAACTTCCGGTTGGTGTACACGAGAAACAAGCCACAGGACATCTCCCAACAGGATACAGAAATGTGCAAACTAGCAGAGAGATCCCCAGACACTTAACAGATAAAGAGCGGTCTGAGCCAATTAGCTGAACTTCTCAAAAGATTTTAGCTCAGGTATCCATGAAGGAAACCTATGTCAGAGCTACTCGAGCTAAAGGTTGATAGGCCTAAGCTGACACAAGTCTCTACATGGTACATTATCAGAGTAAATCTTAAAAAAACAAAAAAAAAACTAAACAAACTCCAGAAGCAAGTCTACCGCATGCATCGGTTTCCATTTAGGCATGGAAAAGCATACATGCATTCACCAACCTCAATGATGATCATCCATCACATGCTTAAAACACTAGAGGAAGCCCACATGGAGCGAACAAACACCCTGTTTGTAAAATGTCACCTACAGACAACTTTTCATTAACCTAACCCCGACTCATAAGTGCTGCAATTCCCTACTTATAGTAGCTGGACCGCAGTGAAGCGGTGCCACCTTTTTGTTGTGATAAATAAGTGTGTGATTTTAAAGAAAAAGGGCAAGTAAAAGCATACATTCAAACACCCACCGGCCTTAGTGCTGGAATTGAAGTACAATACACACTGAGAAAAAGATGTAACACAAATAAATAGTTTGATCTTTTGAATATTTTTTTATCTGTAGCTCTTTCGATTGTTTTTCAGCTGCATTTCATGAATATGTTGCACAATTTCAGATCTGTAAAGTAAAACTGATACTCGCTTGATGCGATTCAGCCTTCCAGAAGTGATACAAGATACGATGATTCCTCACTCACTGCTCAGGACACAGTTTAAAGGACCAGACAACCAGATTTAACCCTACATTACCATCTCTCTCACACACACACACACACACACACACTCACACACAAGACAAAGTTTTTCCATACAGACAACTATTAAACAGTGTAAAGTGAAAAAATGTTTAAAATACAATTTTAACACTGACTTAAGGAAAATACTTTTACCACCCCCTTTTTTATTTTCTTGCTTACCTCTAACATTTCTTCACTACTTCAGAACTGAAAGAAATAGGCCAAACTGTGAAAACATTTGTATTTTCCATTGCAACTAGGATTTCCTCTTAATAGAGAAGCAGATGGCTGTATTTGGTGGGAAAACAAAGTGATCTAAAGCAACAACCACTTAGTGGCAGCTTTTCCCACTAGAAGATACAAGAACAGGCTGTGGGATCTGCAGTCAGACCAAGGCTTCCTCCTCTGTCCTCGCAAAGGCTTTCCTGCAACTCGGAGGTGAAGCAAAAGCTAGTCCCGCTGTAAATGGATGAGGAAGGCTGAAAGAAGGCCTGGCGACTCCTCGGCTATGAGGAAACAGTCACCGGATTGAGCGAACCATTCCGGCTGTAAAACTTAGAGAAGGCCTCTTCGAGAACAGATGCGAGTCGAGGCTGATCGCCCTGAAATGAAAAGGCAGTGAGGTCAAAGTAATCTTTCTAATTGTTCTCTGATAGCAGTATGTGGTAACTTCACGGATAAAACCTCACCTCACTGATAAACCCCAGCTGAACGAGCTCCACAGCTAGCTCCTGCACGTTCTCATCTGAACAAAAACACAATATTTAAATAGTGATAGGGTTACAAAGCATTTAGATGCCTACTTTGTCCTGTCCTATCGTTTGTAACAGTTGCATCACCTGAGAAATGATCAGTGCCAAAGTCACAGGTTACAGCACTCAAATTAGATATTTAGTTACTCTTTCAAATAAGCATTTCATCGCTTAAGAGGTACCTATGTGCAGCTTAAAATAGTCCACCTGCACTACCTACAAAGCCCACAAGGGGGCCACGGCCCACACTAAGAAGTGGCAGAGCAGGCCGAACAGACTGGACAACATAACCAACTTGCGCAAGCTAACTGAAAACGGGTGTTTATTTTTAGTGGGCAACACTGTAACATATCGGATGACTTTTAATAGTGTGACGTATAAAGTTACTTTTAAAAGCAACATTACCCAGCACTGCTTATGAGTGCAATGTAAGGGTAGCAATGCAACAAATATCAGCAGCAGATCGTAGCAATATTCTTTGAGATAGTGTGCATTTAAGTTTTTTTGGGGGGGGAGGGGGGTTCTAAATCGTAGTATCATTAGTATATCTTTAAGTTCTCTGCTTTGAGTTAAACCTCTACAGCAAACCTGTGCTCCCTTGAAAAAGCATTTAAAACCATTTTCTCACTTGTGAAAGGCATGCAAAAATGAAAGCATGGTGAAATATTATTCTCAAAACAAGACACTCACTTGGTAACAAATCACAGCTCAAGTGCCTGTTCAGTTTGTCCTCAAGTTTCAACAGCAAGGTCAGCTGAAAGTAGAATGAAAGCAGTCCATTCAGAGTTCTAACAAAGCACGTTCACATGTAGTACAGATGTCGTTACTTCATCACTCAGCAGGTTGGCAGAGCTGTGACTTACGTGATGTTTCGTGCCCTCGTCAACAGGCTCAATATTACACTGCATCTGAAGGACCTTCAAGGACCAAAAGGAAAACTGTTTAATGCATTGACAAGTTGGAATTAAAATGATTTCAAGTTTTTATTATTATTATTTATAAAGGAAAATGCTGATAAAGACAACAGCCGTGCATTATCATTTTATTTTTATGGTATTAAAATCTATGTAGAGTAGTGCTTTCTGCTCTTACCTTCCTTGTCTCAAGCTCTGCGGGTTCAGGGGTCGGGGTTTTGACCGATGGGGGAACTATGGGTGACTTCACAGCCTCCTGCTGGGGTTGCTGAGGACAGGGGACCCCAAATGCAGTCAGAGGGTAGATTCCATTCCTGTTAAATCAACGTCAAATGTAAGCCACCACAGCTTTAGTTAAAATGTGGCAGTTGCACATTGCTCAATGCATCCAAAAAAGCTTTTACTGAACACACAACAAACACAACCACAGCTTCCTGTTTTTGATTTCAGTGCAGCGGAAACAACTCTCATTTCACTTTCCTTAGCCGATTTTGCCAACTGATCCAAGCTTTAAAGTGAGAAAATTTATAACCAACTGCAAATGTGTTAAAAACTGCATTTGCATTTCCAGCTGTTCTCTTACCTTACATCTTCCAGAAATTTGTCCAGCTCAAGAGCAGGAAACTGGGAAAGCCTGGAGCAAAAGAAAGACTATTATTTCCACTCCAGTAATTAAACAGTCAGAAAACTTTAGACATAGTAGGACTTAATGAAAGGCAATGATGATAAACTAAAGATGATCAAATCACAGAAATCATCAAATCTCCACAATTTACATTTCCTACATTTACACTCAGACTTACTTCATCTGAATCCCCTCTTTGCCCTCAACGATAACCAGGTTAGGGTCCATGTTCTTTGTCATCTCTTCTAAAGCATTTTCAGGAATCATGTCTGAGGTAAACAGAGAAGATCACTATTAAAGAAAAACACCGATCAATGATAGTTAGTTTTCCAAAATAAGAACAACATTACAGGCAATTTGTGTGACTGTGCTTAAGTCTTCAAGTCTTTGTGCCTGCAGATTGCATAACAAAGTATTTTGGCATACGATGGAAGAGTCATAATGACTGTAACTGCTAACCTGTTCCATCTCACTTATTTATGGT